AACCCTACACCCTAAACCGATTTAGGTGAGACCTGTCAGGGCAGCATTGACCACGCTATGGAATCATACTAAAGGCGCGTTGATGATCAGGGTTCGGGTGCCCTAGACCCGTGAATCCAAATAGGAACAAGGATTCAGGGAAACGAGGATCTCTTGAGTGAGCCCCGTGACGTATGAGAGTTTTCTTAACTGTAAAAAGACCCTGAACCATAAATTAAACCCTAGACAAGCCTAGTCAGACTTCCATAGGTCTTGACAACACCAGCATGCTTGAACAGTCCGGAAATGTCAGGAGGCCAAGTCCCCGGCACTGGCTTTTTTGGCTTTTAGTCTAATAGCATGTACCCCGCCCAAAACCATATTCCAATCATCAAGGCCACCTTAATTAATATACGGCTTAGGGACTTTGGGGGGTTTGTAGGGTCTACCCATAGGCCCTATATTAGTTCCTTTTTGGGGTTACCTGATAGGATCCTAAATACAAACCACAAAAAGGAACTAACATGGGGCCTATGGGTAAAGTGTTTGGGTTTTCCATGCTGGTCCTGTTCCGCGGCTGCCCAGCTCTAGGCATGCACACACCGCCAGGACCACGAGTGGGAAAAGCCTGGGGTGCCGCTAGGTCCGCCCTAAACCCTCAACTCTAAACCCTAAACCCTAAACTCCTAAACCTTAAACCCTAAACCCTAAACCCTAAACCCAAGGTGCGCCTTTTTAGGGTGTAGGGAATAGGATCCCCATAGCCTAGTAGGGGAAAATTAAAGATATCGCAAAGGCCTACATACCTGGAAGGGCTCCAATCCTGGGCTCACTCTCTCCACGACTGCATTTAACAAAACTCGGCTTGAGGAGGGACCCTCAATAATTAGGGACCCTTGTAGGTTATTGGGGGTAATATGGGGACTACCTGGCAAAAATAAGGGGTATATAAGGACTATACAATGGTTATTTAAGGTAATGGGATTAAGGGTCCCTATTAGGGGTCCCTCCTAAAGTCCTTAGAAAAACTGTAGACTGGCTATGTCCACTAAGTACTATGCATCGTGTGCTTGACACGTCTGGAATATTGCGATGACTCTGACTATTCCGGTCCCACAACCCTAAGTCAACAATACAAATACCGCATCCTGAGACCTTTGAACCCTGAGCCCAAGTACCCCAACCACCAAACCGTGAATCCATAAACCCTGAACCCTAAGCTTCGTGATCCTAAACCTGAAGCCCTGAGCCCTAAACCCTAAACTTACTTCCCCAATAAGCTAGGGAAATACAACGCTTAAACTTTCAGATTGCTACTAAATTGTAAGACCCCAAATAGCTTAAAGGTCCTATGGAGTCCTATGGTACCCTTTGAAGGAACCCTTACAAGAGCGAGCCCCAAAATGTTTAAAGGTCGGGTATTGGAAAACCCTAAACCCTAAACCCTAAACCCTAATCCTCAGTTGAAACCCTAAGCCTTGAGGCCAAAGCTCCTTTACCCTACACTCGAAACCTGAGAGACCCCAAGCTCCTTATTAAAAAAACTTACCTCCCAAACATCCAGGAGAAGCAAATTTAGGGTCTAGGGTTTAGGGTTTCAGAATAAGACTACGTGCTAAGAGCCCGAAAAGTGAAAAAAAGTTGGGTTCTGAACCACTAACAAAACCAAGAAGCGGTGTTGCCAAGGATAGGAAAGCGCGAACACTTGTGCCATCGGCCCGGCACTGCCTAGTTGTACAGCGAACCCCAGAAAGTTGGAACATGGGTTTAGGATGATAAGTGCTAAACCCTAAACCCTACACACTAAACCTTCAAACCGCAATGATAAGTGCTATAGGACCCCCTGAACTTTTACCTTGAGGGCATCAGGATTATAAACGGTGTAGGGTTTAGGGTTTACGGTTTGGGGTTTAGGGGTTTAGGGTTCATAATGTTCCAACTTTGTGGATGCTCCTATAGAGCTACTTACATATAGGGTCCATGACAAGGTAGCAGAAGCTTGTCATGCTGCTTACAGGGATCCTCATACTTTCGTCATATGGGAGTTTCCGAAAATAAGGGGGGTTACCTTATTTTGAGGTCTTTCTAATAGGGGTCCTACTTTGTAGGGTACTACATTGGGGGTCCCATATACCCAGAGAACCCAATACCCCTTAATTAAGGAATGTACCTTAAATCATAATACTAAGGCCCCTATAATTTAAGGTATATTCGTTCATTAAGGGGTATTGGGCTCTCTGGGTAGCTTAAATCCCTTCAGATCTCCAGATGTTGGGTTTAGGTGTTTAGCGTTTAGGCGATCATGAAAGCTGCAAGGTTATCAACTAGACTTGGCGGGGACCCCAAGATGGATAGTATAGGGGCCTTAATGATTAGAATAGGGTTTGGGGTCCTTTAGAGTATAGTTATAAGGAACAAGGAAACCCCAAAAATACTATAGGTAATTATTGAAGCCCCTATATTAAGTTAGTTTAGAATCGAGAAGACTTGACGGACTGTTCGTTCAGAGTCGCCTAAGGTTTCGGGCTCAGGGTGTACGCGGGTATGGGACTTAGTGAAGCCGTGAAAAAGTCTCCAACGCCTTACCCAAAACCCTAAACCCTAAACCCTAAACCCTAAACCCTAAACCCTACCCGAAGCTCTAAACCGTAAACCCTAAACCGTAAACCCTACACCATACGTACCCTAAATCCTCATCCCTACGTACTACGCACCCTAAACCCTATAATCCCTAAACCCTAAGACCCCAAATAACCTACCTTTTTAGGGCTCCTTATATAAGTCCCTAAAAAAGGTAAGATCTTTGGGGTTAAGGTAAACCCGTAAACTCCAAAGCCATGCCAAACTGCAGATCGACGAAGCTGATCAACTCGCGTCCAGTTAGTTGCAAAACCTCGACGTAGGACAGCAGCGGGTCACCTGAGCCCTAAACCCTAAACCCTAAACCCTAAACCCTAAACCCTGAACCCTGAACCCTAAACACTAAACCTTAAAGCCTAAACCCTAAACCCTAAACCCTAAAACCCTGAGATGGCTTGACCCGACGAGTCCGAAGGACCCAACTTACTTCCCCAATACGGCAGGGAAATTAAAGGTTAAACTTTAGGTTTAGGGTTTGGGGTTTAGGGTTTAGGGTTTAGGGTTTAGGGTTTAGGGTTTAGGGTTTAGGGTTTCGGTTAAACTTTCAGACTGCTACGGTTGATGATACAAATCCTGCATTACCCATAAGAAGGAATAGACCATAATTCCCATGGTTCAAGGTCCTTAAGGTATTACAGGATTTATATCATCAACAGTACTAAGTACTAAGTTATAAGAACCCAAAAAGTTTATAAAGGTTGGGTATTGGAGGACTAAGCCAATAATAAGGTACTTTGCTTGCAGATAGTAGTTTTTTAGGCTTATATTTGGGAGCCCAGCCCTAAACCCTAAACCGTAATTTGGGAGAGTAAAATGATTATTAGGTCTTTGGACCCTTAGGGTTGGGATTAAGGGCCAAGGGCATAGTTAGAGGTCAGGGTTTAGGGTTTAGGTCCGGGTTGCGGGCTTATAGGGTACTACAATCGGACCACCCTCAAACTTGCGTCACCCCTTTGCTCAAACTCAAAACAATCGGTCCACCCTCAAACTTGCGTGACCTCTTTGCTCAAACTCAAACCAGAAGAAAAACGTTAAACATAGTGGCAATTTAGGGTTTAGGGCTTAGGGTTTAGGAAACCAAAAAGAAAAAGTTAAAGAATGGCATGCAAGTCGCTGTCTACAGCACCCGTGGTCGTGGCGCTGGCGTCCTGCGCTTCCAGCACCGCCTCCTTCTCGTGGTCTCTCAAGACTCCCAAGTGCCTCGAACAGGAACTACTTAAAAGGGTCATGGGACTTAGTACTTGCGGGTATAAGTAGAATATCTACAAGTATATTTTATAACCCCTACTCTAAGGTCCTTATAACCTTACTTACTAAGTCCCCTGATCCTCCAAGTACCTAGAGGACCCAACACCTCTTAGGGTTTAGGGTTTAGGGTTTTGACGCAGCATACCTCAAATTGATGAGTGGTCCTTATTACAGGGGTGAATGGTGCACGCTGGGCGGTGGATCTGCTAAAGAGCATTCAAGCCGGTAAAACCCTAAACCCAAACCCTGAAACCCGAACCAGAAAACCTGAAACGAGAAACCCCCACATGTGAACCCTGAACCCCCTCTTGCACAAACCTATACAACACTCCCAAATACTCTCGCAGACTCTCACACCCTCACGAAAACCTTAAAAGACCGTACGGCATAAACCCCACTAAAAACCCTATAAACCCTATGATGCCTCATAGAAAATCCTTGCAATCCGTGTCAAAGTCGATATCTGAGCCGCTAAAAGCGTTCTACGGTTTCGGCCCAGACTACCCTAAACCCTAAACCCAACTTTCAGAATAAGACAACCTCAGCAGAGCTCCAACAGTTGAAAAGTGTGGTTTTGGACCCATAAGCAAAACTCTTTCTTCTCCCTAAACCCTAAGTCCTAAACCCTAAACCCCAAACCCCTAAACCCTAAACCCAAAGCCCCTCAACCCTAAACCCCAAACCCTAAACCCCTAAACCCTAAGCCCCTAAACCCCTAAACCCTAAACCCCTCAACCCTAAACCCTAAACCGTACAAGCCCTAACCCCTAAACCCTAAACCCCTCAATCCCTAAACCCCTAACCCCTAAACCCCTAAACCCAAAGCCCTAAACCCTAAACCCCAAACCCCTAAACCCTAGACCTTCAAACCCCTCAATCCCCTAACCCTAAACCCCTAAACCCCTAAGCCCTTCTTCTGTTTCGGCCGGGGAGCCCCATCACTGACCAAAGCTGCGCCAGCTGCAACAGCACAGGCGCCTGCATTTTCAGAGTTGGGGGTTGTAGGGTTCGGGGTTTAGGG